GGGATGGTGTGAATGGTTTCAGAGGTATTGATCGAGCGAACCCCAGTGCATACGGGGTTCGAATGAGGGAGGGGATCCCTTCCCTTCCCCCACTCGAACCCCGTATGCGCGAATTTAACTCAGTAACGCGGGGGAGGGAATCGACATCCCCTGCAACGAAGTAGGGGTTCGATGGTGTAGATCATGCCAGAGACGCGGATATTCTGGCTCTGCTCAGTCATTACCAAGCATTTCGTTCATTTTGATGGAGGATTTTCTTTGAAAGCCGGGTTCTTCTCTCAGCGACCTGTGGCTTGCAATTTGTCTTTCTTTTCTATATTCGCCTCTTGAGATGAAATCCGAGCAACAATAGCTGCCAATTTCGATTATTTGTGGGAGTTCTTGATCATTCAGGAAATTTGCGCATTTTTCATATAACATAATAGTTTTAACTATATAGGCTGAGTAAACACATTGTAACTTTCATATTTCATGACATATTGCCATTATCTTGTTATTTTAACATAAGCTGCCTTGAAAAAATCTAGAAAGTAGCATATTTGCTTATTTCTGAGTAGAAATCCCCTGGGGAGTGATCCCCTCCCCAGCGTTCCCCTTGTGCATAGCAGGGATGGCTGCTGGGGATCATTCCCCTGGGATAAACGACGATATGCAGCTGATAGTTACAGCGTTTATGGAGAGCTGGCACAATATGCAGCTTCTGTTATGTGTTAGAATACTGCTTTGAGCGTCCGCGCGGCACCCCCCCCCCCCTTTTCGGCAGCCTAACGTCTTCTACCCATTCCCTTGCAGAGACACATCAACTTCTACAGTTCAACATTTTTACGCTGAAATGGAGCAGCATGAGCGAAAGTGGGCAGCATCCAAGAAAGCATGAACATAATGGGAGTAGAAAAAATCATTTTTAGTGCCCCGAGCGCAGTCACTGCATACGCGCATTCCGCAACCCTAAATTAATGAAAGTGAGGAGATGAAGATGAGCTGCAGTCAAAATATGAAATAAGAAAGAGTTGTTCATAGAAAATTTAAAAGCAAGGTGATTTCCCCGCTTGATCCCCTCTTGTGCATAAGAGGGTTCACTTCCCCTCCCCACAGGGGATCCCTTGTCCGATATTGTCTTTGTGCATACGGGGGTTCGCGCGGGGAGGGGAAGGGATCCCCAGCGGGGATCATTTCAATGGTTAAGCGCACATCCCCTCCCCGCGGGGATGTACGTGCATACGGGCCTAAGGGATCGGCCATACTATTCCAGATGATTCCTGCTATTCCTGCGATTCCTGTGATGCCCGCACAGTTCCTATGATCCCGCAAAGTTTAGGCGCCGCTAAAATGAGCGCATGTTGCATTTGTCATTTGGTGCCGCGGAGGACACAGACACAAAGTACGTGGCACCAAATGACAAATACAACATGCGCTCATTTAAGCGGCGCCTAAACTGTGCGGGAATCATAGGAACTGTGCGGGCATCACGGAATCGCAGGAATAGCAGGAATAGCAGGAATCACTGGAATAGTATGGCCGATCCCTAAGGCAGGCAGGCTCTTTCCCCCCATACCTGATCCTCTTGATCCTCTTAAAGGCACCGTCCACCCAGACTCTTGACTTCCATGTTTTGATTGTTCCGGGGCCTTCTCATGTCCCTGATTCCGAATATGAAGTTGAGAATCCGCGAAAACCCCAATGATCCCCGTTCCGGAGAACCTTCAGGCCGGCTTTCCGGAACGGTGATTGGCTGGGCTGGATGGGGGTCCACGTGCATCTTCGCTACTCCAGAGCGATTTTCTCGCTTCCGAAGCGGCATTTTTCGCCGCGGCTTGGGCACTGGCTTGATAAGGGGTCCTACTACTATATAATGCTAAAAGCTCAACCCTCTCAACTTAGGGTGGACGGTGCCTTTAATCCACTTGATCCGCTTGATCCGCTCGGTCCTGCTATCGTGCAGAACGGCGGGGTTTCCAGACGCGCGCACACACAGTTTGTCATTTGGCGCCACATAGCATAACCTAGAGGAGATTCTCTATGGTTACGCAAATTCGCTGTACGCGACGCCAGGGACAAATTAGTCACGCCGTTTTGTACGAAGCGGATCAAGCGGATCAAGTGGATTAAGAGAATCAAGTATGGCGAGTGCCTAAAGGCAGATCTACAGTTACTCTGTTAAAATAGCCTCTTACAAAAGCTCTTGTCTTAACTTGATACACGGTTCCTCGCTGTCAACAAGATTTTTCAAGTACTGATTTGAAGGATTCACATTTGAGGCAATCTTTATCCATATTCAAATTGGTCGTACTACTCTTTTAAGAGCGCTTCCAAGTCATGCTTCCTCTTGAGTGGATGGGTTAGATGGTTGCTATACTCACCTTACGTTTTTGTCGTCAATCTTATATATAAAGCTGAATGTCTGTTTGTCTGTATGTATGTCTGTCTGTGTGTACGTATGTTCCGAATAGAAAATTCCATTTCTGAACCGATCCGGACCAAACTTGGCACACATACAATTCAGGCCCCGGCGGGTGTCATAGGCTACTTTTCGTCATCGATTGATATCGATTTTATCGATTTTTTGCAAAATTTGAGCTACGGGGCTGGGAGTTGGCACAGGGGGGTAATCGAGCATGCTGATTACGAATATAATAATGACAGGGCCGGGCGGAGCCGGGTAAGTCAACTAGTAATCCCTATTACCCGTTCTTGTGGCCGTCGGGACGCTGAAGGGCGCACACGAGCGGTTACCCGCATTAACTCCACCGACATCTGGAAGCGGCGAATGTAAAATGTTAGCGGGAAAGACAGTTGAACATCAAAGCGTGAATGCGTTAAAAAAGAAGATTGGAAGGAGAACTTTTTGGAATGTGGCTGAAGCCGAATAGAAATTTGCAGGAGGACCGGATTTTCTTTGAATCTAATATATAAAGAATCGTAAGCGCAACTCAAAAATGTGCACATAGCGGGAAACCACTTCGCGGTCCCGTAGCGCGCGCATGCTACTAGCGTCTTCAGTTGCTCAATTGGTTCACTAGTCTATGTAGAAGTGAAGTAAAATTTTTAGAAAAAGTGAGACAAATTTAGAAGTAGCTTAATTCATTATGCAAGCAGACAGTTCACTCTTTAAACATTAGGTTCTAATAACCAAAAACTCTACTACACCGTCAAACAGTGATTTGTGATAGGAAACTCAAAAGATGATGCATGCCCAACTAGAAATAATGACATGAGATGGACGTCAAGCAGGAGGCAGCAAAGGCTTACCGCATTTGCTTCTGGAAGTGCTTGGGGAGCTCTAGATTCCTCGTGCCTCTAATCACTTTTCGCACCTCTGATTACTTTACAAGTTGGAGGATTGAACGAAAATCTTTTTGAAGGGTATCGCACTCTGGATCAGTTTGAGAATCTTGCAATCAATCATTTCAATCTCAGCTGTAGTCGTCTTCAGCCTCTTTTATTGGGTTCAAAGCATTCTACTCCAGAATTCGTAACAGAAGATTGTGATTCTGCTGCAGAACAAACGAGTGCAATTAGTCTTCAAAGTCCTTGTCTTCGATCGGTATTAATTTAGAATCTACATTTGAGATTCTGGTTGAAAGATTGAATAGACCAATTCATACTTTTGAATCACTTAGCGCTATCTATGAGTCCTTTTTGAACTTGTTATCTTATTTGCTATGAATTTAAAACATAAAAGCTATCTCAGAACTTGTCACGCTTTGAGAACTCAACGATCAGTTTGGCATAGGTCATATCGAGTAATTAGAAGTGCAAAGAAGTAATTAGACGCGCGAGAAAGTCTGAATTCCCTAGGTACTTCCCAGTGGCGGACCGAGGGGGGGGGGGCGGGGGAGGGGCGCGCGCGCCCCCCCCCCCCGAGAATGGGTCGCGAAATTTTTGAAACTTACCTATATGGGTTGTAAAAATGTGCAAACGACTTGTTTGCACTTGAAAATAATTAAAATAATTTTTAAAATTTTTTAAAAATTCATTTTAGCCTTATAAAAAAATTTTTTTCGGAGGCGTGGCTGACGTCACGCCCCCTTCTTCCAGATTTTAGGGGTCTGGCACCAGCAAAAATTTTGAGAAGCACCCCAAAAATTTTTTCGGAGTGCGTGGCTAACGCCACGCACCTTCCTTAGGAAAAATTTTTGTCGCGCCCCCCCCCCCCGAAAAAAATTTCTCGGACCGCCACTGGTACTTCCATAAGCAGAAGCGGCGAGCCTTTGCTGCCTCCTGCCCGACCGCCACATGAGATGACAGTAAAAGAGTGCTTAGCAATTCAGATTCGCCCATTTCATGACGAATGGTAAAGGACCACTCAGGGGGTAGAGGACTATATGTCGCCGAAAAAGGGCGGTCCCCGGGGTCATTTGCGACAAATACGTACCCTTGTACATGCGCGGACAAGCGTTCCTGCAGGGAATCCGCGCGGGACTCTTCCAAATTCGGCGACATATAGTCCTCCACCCCCACTCAGGCCGTGCAGGTAGTATAAAAAAAAGCTTTTAGTGAAACAGTGAAGCGAAAAGCTAAGAAGATAGAGTCATGAATGTATACAGGTTGAAGATGAGATAGGACGACTAGATAAATAGATATAAATTGGTCGAGCTAAAGCTAACTGAAAAAAAGTCGTAGCCCTTCCCGCCATCATAAGAATTCAGAGCTCAGCAGTCTTTGATTTTTGAGAGATCATAGATCTAAAGCCTGACTGCATGAGTACGGTTTGTAAAAGCATGAAACAGCGGTAGAAGAGGGAAACACACCAGTTTATGAAACAAACGTAATACCTTACCACTACTTCTTTGAGATCGTGGATAACCGAGCAATTCCTGGATAAGCCTCAAAAAATGATGTGCATCACCAGTCAGCAAATGCTCTTGCGATAAATGAGATCACCATCGATAACGCAAGACATTTGAAAAACATTATTTCGCGCTTCACTGTGTGAATTTGCGTGTGCGAGTGGAACCACGTACAAAGTAAACTACCGTAGGAAATCAAATCACGCCCGAGTCGGTAGTCGCAGATTTGTTTTGAGTTGTTTTCCTCAGAGAACAACGTCGTTCATTCTGGCCTTATAATGCGAAGAAGTCTACTGCGGTGAATTCCATAGCTTTATCATCCAAAGATCGTCATGTATGCTTACTTGAACGAGACCGACGACTCTACAACAGTGAACTTCAGCTCCTATGGAAGTTTTCTACCTGGTAAAGGTGTGTTTTCTTCTTCTCAGTAATCTCAGTTAGTGTTTGGTTGAGTGAAAAGTTCTACAAATATTTTGAATTATGGAAAGTTTTCATAGATGAAAAGAATCGCAGTGGTGTGGTCTACGGAGCATTCAGCATCCTTTAAAGTAATGCCGCAATCGTTTGAGTATGATTTGGCCTGTACATTTCTTTCGTATGGACTCTTCAAATCGTTCAGTGGAAGTGGAATCTGTGTAATTGTATTTTAAGGCTATATGGCCTCGGGCAGAGTCACGCGATTTGATCGTCGCGATTCAATCGCTACAAGACAAGTGATACGAGTTCATTGCACGCCATTCATTCTTCTTGCATTTCGGTTGTGATAGTTTTCCAACACGACTAATCGTGACCAACTATCACAGTCGAAATACAAGAAGATCGGCATGCAACGAACTCGTAACACTTGTCTTGTAGCGATTGAATCGCGACGATCATATCGCATGAACTCTACCCGAGGCCTATGGAGTAATGGTCACCGTATGCTTTCATATATATCATACAGTTTCCGTGAAGCGTTGAATAGATTTGAACAACCTTTTGCGGAAGTAGTCAAATCTTTTGTTACTGCCTATTTACTTGCAGTGCCTCTAGAAAGTTATCATCATGTAGATGTGTTCACGATGATGCTCATATTCTTGAATAGCATGTCAATTAACCCTAGCAAGTTTGAGCTGAGTCCGTGAAACTTTTGGCGGTCAAATTGCGCCGGATAAAGCTTTTCTTGATGACTCTTTTATTTGCGAACATTCTATGATATGTATCCGTTGATACTTATGTTTAGGAAGTCAGCTCCTCATAGTTGGCGCTAAGCATCTCCGATTGTTTCGCACCAATCCTTACACTTTGATTCCTCCAAAAGACGCGTCGGACGAATGGAAACAGAAAACCAAACTGGAATGCGTGTTCAGTTGTCGCTTCATGTCACCAATTCAATCATTTGCAAAGGCTAAACTTCCAGGTTTGTGATCTGACCAGATTTCATATGCTATTGGTAGTTTCTGTTCGCATCTTTCAGGTTACCCCAATAGTGAGGCCTTGCTGCTTGCTTTCGAAGGCTGTAACGTCTCTGTCGTCGCCATCGATCCTGAAGATCGAGCTCTTAGCACTATCTCCTTGCACAGCTTTTCTTCGGAGTTCAAACGCGATGGATTTACATTTCATTGCCACGAGCCTATAGTTAGGGTACGTAGTCTTCAAAATTTAACGGATCTTCCATGTTCGACTATTTCTGAATCTTGGCATAGTGTCAATTAGGGTATATGATGTTAAGCTTCCCAAGATTGGTAGTTCCTTCTTCTATTGTCAGTAACAGTCAACAATCAGTACGGTCTACGTTTCGGCGGAGATCGCCTTTTTCAAGACCTGGAAGCGAGTCAACGTGTGCAGTAATTTACTTCAAGGGTAAACATACCTTGGAGGTATGTCTAGGTAAGGAGTGAATTATGTACAAGGTCTATGTATGTCTAAGGTATGTCTACCCTTGAGTGAATCACTGCACACATTGACTCGCTTCCAGATCATGAAAAAGGCGATCTCCACCGAAACGTAGACCGTACTGATTGTTGACTGTTACTGACAATAAAGGAAGGAACTACCAATCTTGGAAAGCTTAACATCATGTACCGTAATTTAAGGATCGTTTTTTGGAAATTTAGCATTTACTTAAAGGCACCGCTCACCCTAAGTTGAGCGTCTAGCTTTTGGCAGCATATGATAGTAGAGCCCCCCATCAAGCCGGTGCCCAAGTCGCAGCGCAAAATGTCGCTTCGGAAGCGAGAAAATCATTCCGGAATACCGAAGACGCACGAGGAGTCCTAGATGGCGCCGCCCTCCCCATCCATGCCCGCCCATCCGTGCGCGCCCATCAGATCACCGTTCCGGAAAGTCGGCCTGTGGGTTCTCCGGAACGGGGATTGTCGGGATTTTCGCGAATTTTCGACTTCATATTCGGAATCAGGGACATGAGAAGGCCTTGAAACGACAAAAATCTGGAATTCGAGACTTTTTGTGTGGACGGTGCCTCCAAAAGGTCGTCCACCTAAATTGGGGATGGTGAAATTTTAATGCTGTGTAGTAGTGGGGCTCCTAATTAAGTGCCCTGGTCCCACTGGAGAGGTGAATGCCCAGCGAGAAAATCGGTTCCAGATGGTAGCAGCGGCCAAGATGGCTCCGCTTATCAACGTGGATAATATGGGGTTAGGGACTTCAAAAATAGGCTTCCGAGCAGACCGAAATGTCGAGATTTAATGATCACAATCATCTCTTATACATAGCCCAATTTTGAGATTGTTTCTTCAAATACTATGCTAATTGGCGTAGCCACTATCGCCGCTTCTACATTCTGAAACTTTTTCGCTTCTCAGTTCATCATATGCAGTGGGGCTCCGCTATCATACAGCACCAAAATTTCATTATTACTCTGGATAGATGGTGCCTTCAAGGGTGGTGGAATAGAGTCTTTTCGCACTATGAACTCACTATCTTTTTTTTTGGTTGAGCTTGTCATTTACTTTCTACACATTTACCACATACCTTCTAGACCGATCCCGCAAACAGATGTGGTGCTTTTGGTGTGTACCAAGTGATAGGGTAGACGAGTAGTTGTGGAATAGGTTTATTCACACTGGCGTAGATTAGTTGAGAGCGATCATCGAGGTGTCCCGGTGTGGACCGGGGAGCAACCTCTAATACATTCGGAGGCTCCTTATATAGGAAGAAAGGCGGAGCCAAACCGAATACAAGGTACAAAGTATACGAGTTGGTGCTTAAAAGGAGATGCCGCCGATTGGCTACACTCCTGGCGCACAGGTACCACTCACTCTTGAGTGATTAGATACTCGAGAGTGAGTAGCTCACCATTTAGCCTACGGGGATCCCGTAGGCTATACAGATTATAGAGTTCATCAATGGTTGATGATCCAGAAATCATCAACACTCCGGGCGAGCGAGAGGAAAGTGAGATCTGGTAAGATCTGGATGAGTGTGGACACATGTGAGGTTGACTAGTAAGTTAGTGAGCATTATGTATACAGAATAGCGATCTTGAATAAGAGCTGCAAATAATGTTAACATTCACACGAAATTAATTCAATTCACAATATATGCACAATGGTATGATCAGTTGAGGTGGTTGATGGAGGCGAATTTCGTTTTGGCACTGCTCGTCGTCGTCGCCTTTTCTTCTTCGTCATTGATTTTGAATTGATAGTAGAAGCATTATTGACGGTCATCTTCTCGGTAGGCGCCGTTTTGAGCGTGAACTTCTGTGATGTCTGCCCTTCGTCATCATTGTCTCTGCTTGCTTCCTAAGATACGACGAGGTGGTGGTCATTCCATTCGACATCATCGCAGAGCCATCGGAAGAGTTTGAAAGGGAACGGATTGTGTTCAGCCAACGTTGCCTGTCTGCTTGAGCTTCACGGAAGATGAAAGCTCTGAGCGTCTGCCCCATCTTTCTGGGTTGCCTTCCTTTAGATGAAGGGAATTGTTGTAGTTTTGTTGGCGGAGATGTTTCCTGTGGCGTTGATATGCAGCCAAAGGTACCAATGGATTTTGCTGTAATGGCGGTGCGATTTGTTCCTGATATGACGTAACCGAAGATTGTTGGGGTCAAAATGAGCCCGGAGGGGAGCGTGAGCACTCTCTCATTTCGAAGGATGACAAGATTTATGAGGTCTTGCCCGATGATCAGGTCCGGTAGAAGGCTTTTGTGAGAGAGCATATCCTGAGCAATCATCAGCTTTCCGTCTTCGATGAAACGCAAGTCTGCCTCCGTGAGGCTTGCCGTCTGCATATCGGTAGTCAGCTTCTGCTTTGTATGCAATGACAACTTCTTGAGCTTCTCGGAGCTGTGAAGACTCTTCAAGGTGATGTGCACTTCAGATGAGTTGAATTTCTCTTGATGTTCGCCCATTCCTGATGTAGTGAAAGAAGTAGTTCGGGCGATCGGAAGCTTGAGTTCTTCACAGAGTCCTGCTCTGATGAAGCTTCTTTGTGCTCCGGAGTCAAGGAGTATGGTCGTTGGTTGGTAATCCCACTGTGCTTCGTTGAAAATCAAGACTGAAGCGATTTGCAAAACGCACTGATTGTGGGCCAATGGAAATATGTCTGGATTGTATTTTTGTTCAGCCTGTAATCCTTGTACGACGTGCATGTTACTCATTTCGCGGCGATCCTGGTTCGTATCATGTTGTGGCCAAAAGGTGGGTGACTGTTGGTGATTTTCGAGTGCGGAATCTCGATGCGTGGAAAATTCGCTGCGTTGTCCTGCTTCTGACAAGCAAAGAGATCCGTGGTGCGATCCCTGGCATTTAGGGCATACTCCAATATTCGCACAATCGTTTGAGTCGTGGTTTCTTACGAAACATCTCCAGCACGCTCCTTGGTTTGTTGCTTCAAGTCGCCGAGCTTCTGGAGTGGTGTATCTCTGGCAGGTGTATGGCGAATGTGGTTGTCCACATACACACAAACGTTTTGGTTTCGAAAAGTGATTCTCTTCTCCCCATCTTGTTCTGTTGCTTCTTCCATTTTGTTGAGTGTCCTGGCGATGACTGGTTGGGAAAAGAGTTTCCGTTGTAAGCGAAGTGGTTTCCCGCAGTGAAATAATGCCATCGATAGCATTTAGGATTTCGCCAACATCAAAGGGATCATCTTGTATCGCTTCTTTTTGGATGGCGGTCGTACAAATGGATTCGGGAAATTTGGAGAAGATTATCCGACGCCAAACTCGGTCTGCGTTCAGCTTCATGCCTGTTTGTTCCAAATGGATGATCCTGGAGTTGATTGCTTCAAAGGTATCTCGGCAACTCTTCGGATTATCAGCCGCCCTTGAAAGCTTTTCGATCTCATTTATAAGTATGTCTGCCATGTTGGCCGAGCGATCGAAATGCTTTTTTACGATTTCTATCGCTGTCTCATATTTTTCTCCAACAACGGGGATGCAGCTTAGAGTGGCTGCTGCTTTTCCCTTTAGAGCTTGTTTCAGAAACAGGAATTTGTCCATGTCGGATAACTCCTCGTCATTGTGGATGAGAGATTCGAATACTGTCCAGAAACTATTGAACTCGCGAAAGTTGCCTGAGAACGTAGGAATCTCAAGCATGGGCTTTCGAATCTTGATCTGTCTTTCGTTGCGTTCCGGAGTTCCAGCTTGCCCAACTTCACTACTTGGCTGACTCGGTATGCTGGGAGTACTGCAGTGCACAAGCGCACTTTGTTCCTTGAGTTCATGTTGTCGGAACTGGATCCTGTTTTGCCACTGTACTGCCATGACCTCCAGATGAAGAGACTCTAACTCAAGGTGTTTGCTGAGTTCAGTCATCAGCTTTTCTCTCTCTTTTTCCTCGTTTCTTGAGCCGACATATTCAATTGCGGCATTTACTTGAGTGTCTTGAAGTCTGACGGCATTTTGGAGAGAATTGAGCAAATGCGTGATTTCTCCCATTTTCCTTTTGATGTATGTTTCGCATTCAGTCTTGTCCACAGGAAAAGTGAATGGTGTGTCAATTTTATTCACTTCCGACTCGTATGATTTCACAAGTGCGCAGGCATTGTTGATTTTCGATTTGAAGATTTGGAGCGCTGCCATTTTTGTATCGCACAAAGTTGTGTTCGGTGCTTCCGTTAAGTGCTGATGGCGAGCGTCGCAACGCGAGATGCGTATCCTCGTTGTAGACTTTAGAGGACGACAGCAAGGCTGGCCTCTTGTAACAGCTGTCCTTACTGGGTGCAAGGAAGCCTTCTAGTGAGCTGGCAATTGAGTGCCGAGCTTCTACTAGCTGTCAGCAAGCGTGCCTGGTTGGCTTGTACGCTGTACTGGACGGTGAGGTGTGTTGAACCTGTACCGTGAGGATTGAGAGCTTGAGTTCTTGGTGGAACTTCGAAGCTTAACAAGTAAGATTTTTTGGTTCTTGACTTGTTCTTTCTTCCGTTGAAATCTCTTTTTTCTAACTCTGGTTCCTTTGCAGGACTCGCGAAGAGATTAGTGAGATTGGAAGTGCACACACAAACTGATTCACTCTCTGGTTCCTTACGAAAAGGACGCGCGAAAAGAGTTTCACAAGTTGTGGTGGTGTTTGCTGCACAAAATTCTTTCCACTCCCTGGTCTCTTACGAAAAGAGCGCGCAAGGGAAGTTTTCAGAAATTAAGTGTTTAGCTACTACCAACTGGTCCTTTACTACCCTCTGGTCTCTTACGAAAAGAGCTCGCAAAAAGGGGATCAATTTGCAGTGGAGTTTTGCACCGACTGTTTTCTTTACTACTCTCGGGTCTCTTACGAAAAGAGCGCGCAACGAGAGGTTCAATATTCAGTAGTGCTACTGCCAGCTAGTCTTTTACTACCCTCTGGTCTCTTACGAAAAGAGCTCGCGAAAGGGGTTCAATTTGCAGTGGAGTTGTCTGCCGACTGGTCCTTTACTACCCTCTGGTCTCTTACGAGAAGAGCTCGCGAAAGGGGTTCAATTTGCAGTGGAGTTGTGGAACCAACTGTTTTTTAGCCCTCGGGTCTCTTACGAAAAGAGCGCGCAACGAGGGTGTCAATATTCAGTGGTGTTGCTCAACAACTGTTTTTTTACTACTCTCGGGTCTCTTACGAAAAGAGCGCGCAACGAGAGGTTCAATATTCAGTGTCCTGCCACGCGGGTCTTGTAGGCCTTGATTTCCGAGGGGAAATGCAAGGAAGTTCACTGGACGATGCACCAATTTGGTGTGTACCAAGTGATAGGGTAGACGAGTAGTTGTGGAATAGGTTTATTCACACTGGCGTAGATTAGTTGAGAGCGATCATCGAGGTGTCCCGGTGTGGACCGGGGAGCAACCTCTAATACATTCGGAGGCTCCTTATATAGGAGGAAAGGCGGAGCCAAACCGAATACAAGGTACAAAGTATACGAGTTGGTGCTTAAAAGGAGATGCCGCCGATTGGCTACACTCCTGGCGCACAGGTACCACTCACTCTTGAGTGATTAGATACTCGAGAGTGAGTAGCTCACCATTTAGCCTACGGGGATCCCGTAGGCTATACAGATTATAGAGTTCATCAATGGTTGATGATCCAGAAATCATCAACAGTGCTGCTGTAATTTATGACAGGATTCTGGGTATTCTTCCATTTGATGGCGACTTCATCAATAGTTTCTCAATTCCTTTATCCGAAATTGATCATAGGTGAGGTAGCTACATTTTTTTCGCATCTATGTAGTTCTTCACATCGTCTGTTGCAGACTTGAGAACATTGTTGACATGGTTTTTCTGGATGGATATTATGAACCTACCTTACTATTCCTGTACGAACCGCATCAGACAACGGCGGGAAGGTGGACTTTTGATTTTTTTGCTTAATTGGCATGGAGTATGGAAATCCATTAGTTTTTGATTCTTTTTCATGGATGTTTTTAGGGCTTCGGTGCGATACGATACCATGCACTTACTGGGAGTTTCCGTAAATGTATTCGATGAGCAGGTTGCCATTGTGTGGCAGGTGGGAAGTTTACCCATGGATTGTAACAGGTGAGGCAATTTTAAGGTTTATATTTTCAGTTGCTATCTTGGTAGCTTTTTAGAATTTTACACATATCCAAGTCTAACGTAAGTTTTGAGCGACAAACCGCGCATATTTCGCTAGAAACTCTCCAACTAGTTTGCAAAAATATTCCATTTCAAATAAAAATGAAAGGAAGAAAGAAAGCTGCAATGTTTTTGGCATTAGATATAAACCATGCTTGACGTTCAGACCATTTTATCATTGCCACTAAAATCTCTTTCAGGCTTGTGGCTATACCAAAACCACTGGGTGGAGTTCTGGTGATTGGATCAAATGAAGTAATATACTTGAACCAATCAGTGCCTCCCTGTGGGATTAGCCTGAACAGCTGTTACGACAATTTACGAAGTTTCCCCTGAAAGTAAGCCCTTGCTCTGGCTCCTCATTCTGGTGCCTTCTGTTTGAAGGATTTGAAACATATGTCTATGACTCTGGTTGCTGGTGCGGCAGAATGGATTGGTAGTAATCATGTTGCATTGGGTACAATGGATGGCAGATTGTTCATTCTTACTCTTCTCACAGATTCTTCAGAAACTGTAAGATCTCTTGATATAGAGCACGTTTTCGGTAAGTTGCATGTGACGTACTAGTGGTAGTGATTTCATCTCAGATTTGCAGATACGTCCATTGCTTATTGCATGAATTTATGTTCTCCTGGCCGCCTCTTCATCGGTTCTCGACTTGGTGATTCTCAGCTTTTAGAATTTATCGTGGAAAAGGAGGAAATAAGTAATTTTTGTTTTTTTTTTCCTACAAAAGAAGAAGAAAGTAGCCTTGCTCAATTGTAGAAGAGGAATCCTCTCCGGAACCGAGGAAAGCCAAAGTCGAGGAAAAGATGAACGCGGATGAGGACGATCTTGAACTTTATTACGATACAGATTATCGAACAAGTGGTGAGTCCATTTGCTGTCTTTCATCTATCACTTTTATCTATAACAAGTCATAAATAATAAATAATTAGCGCTTGAATCTAACGAAGCGGTCTGTTATTATACTTGAGAATATCTGAGAAAGTCAGCTTTTACCCTGAAACTTTGAGCAATTTATTTGCATAGATTCTCTTCCAGGCGTGAAGAAGTGAGCGCGTTCATGCTCCTACAAGCTAATGGCTAAGGTAATGACAGTCCTCGTTGTCCTCTACCTCAAACAGTCAGGAGAGAGTGCAATGAGCCTAAATAGTAGTCAAGTGGGGTTCTTAGTCGAATTTCGCGGCCCTGAAATACAGTCTGATTCTTCAGTTTTCTGCCATTTCTCAGTATATTCTGGTTGGCTGACCACATTTTTTCTCAGCTGCACGATCCGCATACCAGCGTTGACTAGAAAATAAGATATTTGAAAAATATTTTTTATACTCTTCGATTTCTAAATCTATTTGACAACAGTATAAAGCTTTTAAGTGTGAATTTTTGCAGGCAACAGTCAAGGAGAAGTACAAAGAGAAACTTATATTTTCTGAGCTCGATCGGTTAACTAACATCGGTCCCATAAAAGCGATCACCGCTGGTGGTGCCCATGGAGTCAGTCCAATTTTGCTGGAGCAGGAAAGAACAGACCCTATATTTGATATTGTGGGTTTTGTGAAATTTGGGTCGAACAAGGTCAATCCAGAATTTCTAGATTGTTGCTTCTGGGCATACAGTCAATGGTTCAATTTGTGTACTGCAAAGGACGGTGCGGCCAGACATAATCACCAGCAGTGTGTTCGTTTTTCTTCTCTTTCCATGCTGTTTTCTACATTTGATTTTAGCCCAGATTTTTCTATGTGATTGTTTAGCTTACAAGACGCTCAACAGCTTTGGGCAGTAGGAAGAAGAGAGGATGATTCTCACAAGTAGGGCTGCAAGCTTACACCGACTTTTATCTGGATGTGATAACATTGTGATCACTACGTTTTGCTTTAAGATATCTCATCGTATCTCGTACACGATCTTCTCTGATTGAGTTAGGGGAAGATATGGTTGAATTGGAAGAACCCCTTTTTTTGTCGGACGAACCTACCGTTGCAGCAGGAGAGCTAGCTGATGGTGGTCTTGCTGTTCAAGTATGTTTATTTTTATCTTTCTTATCTTATTTTTTTATCGTACTGGCACTAGAAAGTTTTACGCTGTTTATATCTTCGCTGACTATACTATTCAGTAATGTTTAGGTGACGTCACTGCGTGTAGCTCTTGTAGCAGAAGAAAAACAACTCCAACAGATTGATTTGGATTCTAACTTCCCTGTTGTTGCCGCATCAATAGTTGATCCTTACGTGGCTTTACTGACTCAAAACGGGCGCTTAATGTTGTTCCATCTTGTTTTGAACCCTACTGTGCACCTACAGGTAACAGATTTAATGTTTGGCGCTGATATAAAAAATTTCGATCCTCATCTAGGAAATTGACATATCCAACACCGCGTTTGCCGAAAGAACCGTTCATCACCGAGCTCCCTTGACAGCACTGTCTATTTATCGCGATGTGAGTGGACTTATGGTTTGCTCTCAAGATGATGCAAGCATAGCTGAAGGAAGAAAAGCTAGCAGGTTAAGGAAGGTCTGTTGTTGTTTTTTATAAGGGTTAACGTTTGTATTGATTTATCCAGGCGGCTGCACGCCGAACTCTTGTAGACTCCATCGACATCGACCTCTATGGCGATGAGGGATTACCCACTAGTAATGCCGTCGTTGATGAGGACGAGCTATTGTATGGAAAACCGGCAGGAAATAAAAGAGGTATGGTAATTGCTGTCAATACATTACCGATAGTTTCATCTGTGAGTTCAGATGAGAACGTTCGAAAAAGGAAGAGGATTGCTGACATAAGTAGTGTCGCGACTGGATGCGAGGAGTCGGATGCCATTGATCCGAATACTGGTCTGTAGTTCGCTGCTTAGCTTGTCACAACCCATAGGTAGTAACTTCTTTATTCAGTGGAGCCTACGTATTGGCTTGTACTGGCTCGCGACAGCGGCAAGGTCGTAATCCATTCTCTACCGGATATGAAGATAGTTTATCAGGTTAGGTCTTTGTGGATATTTAGTTTTCCCATTGTATGAATGTACACACATGAGATGATAGCAGTGGCGTACCCAGGATTTCGGCTCGGGGGAGGGGGCGGGGGCAAAGATTTCCGATGAAGGTGCGTGGCGTCAGCCAAATTCTTGGCTCAGAACCCCGAAATTTCAGAAGAAGGATGCGGGGCGTCAGCCACGCCCCCGAAAATTTTTTTACAAGGCTGAAATGAATTTCAAAATTTTTCAAAGATTATTTTGATTATTTACAAGTGCAGACAAGTCATTTGCACAATTTTACAACCTAGGTAAGTAACTTCCAACAATTTCGCGACCTGTTCCCCCCCCCCCCTTCCCCCCGCTCCATCCCCTCGTTACGCCACTGGATCAAGCTACTATTTATCCTCACCGTTCAAATGAGACACCTTAGTCCTTGTTTGACGCAATGAAGAAAAAGGAATAAGTTAAGAAGTAGAAACTTACATTCTCCAAAAAACAAAATACCAAGAGTTTTATCGTATTTTTCATAAGCCACTCCCTTTGTAGCTTAGAAGTTCTTTGTAATTTATTTAACATATCAATTTTGGTTTATTTGTTTTGGTGTTCAGTTCTTGAAATTTGGATTGATGCCTGAAATAGTGACCGATCTCATGCCTGAGGAGGAAGAGAAGGACAAGAAAGAACAAGGTTCGTGAGCTTTCTGATGTATCATTCAAGCTGCATGCATTCTCTTTAGAAGCCCGCGCAGAGCAGTTTGAGAACTCTTCCATACAATTTCGGCCCAATGAAAGGGTCGTCGAATTGCAGATTGTTGGCAAGTTTCTTTCATTGCATTTTCTTTTTCATTCATTGTATGTGCATGCGAATCATTCGCTGAGGATAAATATTTTAAGGTTTGGGCATCAACCAGGGTCATCCCACTTTAATGGCTGTAGTTGACGACCAAGTCATCACTTACGAAACGTACAAGTGGAGGAATCCCCTGCGAGGTTTCTTTACTTGATTGTTTTCAAGGATTATTGCAAAAATAGGACAGTTTTCAGAACATCTTGCCATCGGCTTCCGACGGCTGTCAGTGACCGTGACGATCAGATCAACTCCGTTCATGGGTCACGATGGACGGAGAGCGGAAGTTAGTACAAGCCACTTTATTTTTTGCTCCTCTAATGTATGCTTATTAGGTGGAAGTAGGAAGAGAAATTGAGCAACATCGGGTGATCATTCATCCTTTCGAACGTGTCTGTGGCATCGTAAGTCATTGCAGCTTTTTTCCATAAAATTTGCAAGTAAGTTCTGTTTCAGATGAATGGTGTAATGCTCTTGGGTGCATATCCTTGTCTGGTTTTGATCGGAGCATGGGGTGGTCTTCAGTGTCATCCCTTGACCATTGACGGTCCTATATCTGCTTTCACCCCATTCAACAACCAGAATGTACCGAATGGCTTTCTGTACATCGTTAAGAATTCACAGGAACTGCGGATTGCCAAGTTGCAGGTACGGCCAGTTCTGATGAGCATCTGTTGAAGTTACGTATTGAACTGATTGTATTTTTAGAACGATTTTGACTACGAACTGTCTTTTCCTTGTCGAAAAGTCCATGTCGGCGCTACAGTACACCACGTGCGATACGTGATGAATAGTCAAGTATGTAAGAGATAAGTGCTTACTAGGTTTTTAACGAATTTATATTCAAGGTCTACGCTATAACGACATCCGTCCCCATGAAAAGCAATAAAATCTGGGTAGTGGTAAATGACGACAAGCAGGTGGAAACGCTGAAAAGAACAAAAATTTTGTCCTTCCGTCAATTCCTCAATACGCACTCAATGTGAGCACATAAGTTGTTAGATGCCTCGGATCATATTTGTTTTCATTTATATTCTCCTGTAGACTGGAAACCAGTCCCAAATACGGATATCAAATTTGAAGAGATGAAGGTTGTAACAGCATGCGAAGAAGTGACATTACGCTCTGAATCTACAATAAGTGGTATGCAAGCGTATCTAGCTGTGGGGACAATCAACAATTATGGGGAAGAGGTACGAAAGCATAGCGCCGGTTTTTCTTTTCCTTATGGATCTGTGTTGCAAATTTTTTCGTCTTCATTGCTAGAAAATCAAAATTTTGGTGAGCTTTGTAAGGAGTTCAAGCACCATGAGTAGAGAGTTGATGATCAGCAAAATTAGCTAAATGTAAAACTCTCTACTCATAGAGAGCTATTAACTGCCAACTATCTTCGAACAATTTTTTTGAAAAGATCAGACGGCTAATGAAGGTGAGCATCTACAAAGATCGTTTTAAGGTGCTTGTAAGAGGTCGCATAATTCTTGCTGAGATAATCGACGTAGTTCCGGAGCCTGGAAAACCCACTTCAAAGCACAAAATAAAAGTTAGATATCTTTTGTTCATGGTTGTTTCAGAATATCTTCTATTTTTTGCAGATCTTATATGACAAGGAACAGAAAGGGCCGGTTACTGCTTTGGCATCTATCAATGGACTGTTGCTCAGTGGCATGGCACAAAAGGTGTGTATTAGGCCTCTTCCATTTCACTGATTCGTATCTGTTTTAGATATTCATCTGGGGTTTTCGTGACAATGATTTGCAAGGTATTTCCTTTCTGGATATGCATTACTATGTGCATTCTTTGATCTCTATGCGTAATCTTGCGATCGCATGCGACATGCACGACTCAATGTCGTTGATTCGCTTTCAGGTTTGCAATCCTTTCAGTTGATAGCATTGATCCGGAAAAATCTTGCAGGAGCAGTTCAAAGCCCTTTCTGTTGCATCTCGGGACGATCGTGTGGATGTCCCATTTTCCATGGCTGCACAATTTTTAGTGGATAACAAGTAATCTGGTTGGGTACATGCTTTGCAATGGATTTTACTGCACAAGTTTCAGTCATTTGGCTTTCTTGATGTCTGATGAAGCTGGCAATATTTGCTTGTTTAACTACATGCCCGAGACACAAGAATCCAACGGAGGTGAACGCCTAGTACTGAGGGGTGTCCTCAACATAGGCACAAATGTGAATGCCTGGCTTCGGGTGAAAGGTTAGATTTGCATACACACGGTTATGCCCAAAATTATCAATTCAACAATTTCTTGCCAAATGTAGGACACACTTCTTTGTTTGCGGTATCACCACTTGACGTCAAAAGCATCACGCAACAACAAACGAGTGTATGGGCCTCTCTTGATGGCTCTCTTGGCATTGTGCGCCCGGTTTCAGAAAGGCAGTTTAGGTGCGATTGGGTGCTTGGAATTTAAAACCAATCAGATGTTATCTATTTATAGGCGGCTACACTTCTTGCATCAGTGTATGTCCAATTCTGTAGGACAACTTGCTGGACTGAATCCGAAGGTGAGCATTTCTGTAGTCACTATATTTTCGAAATAGCAGTGCAGGAACGAGGGAAATCCGTTATGCCAGCTCTATGCTAAAATAGAAAGCTCGGCTTGGTAGATCAAGTGCTTGGTCTTGTTGCAGTTTTATTTGAATTGCGGTAATAAAAACATTCCTTGAGGGTGCTCGTGGAGGGAAGCCGATTCATCCACTTGTAAACGCTACCAACACCAAAAATATGGTTGATGGGGAATTGGTTGAACAGTTCATGCATCTTTCTGCATCAAGGAAACAGGACTTGGCGCGAAGTCTTGGAGCAAGCAGGTGGCCCTATTTTCTCTTGTCTTTTGGGCTCAGTTTTTTTCGTACATAATGGTTTGTTTGCAGATACCACATAATGGACGATCTTGTGCAAATCCAACGGCTCTCTACATTTTATTAGTTCAATGCGAGTGAATTCTTTGCTAGAAGGCCCATCATGCCTAAGCATTTATGGAAAACTATGGGATGTCCTGGAAGTATTGGGATGCATGCTCTAAATTGTTCGCGTTAGAATTGATTTCTTGCTAAGCAAGAGTTGAAATCTTCTATCTGGGAGGACACAATTGTCCCAGTTTCTCCTATACTTCAATTTACTGTTGTTTTCTAGCGCTGAAAATTCTGAGATGACGCTCTCCATTGTAGTCCTATTGCGCATCTTGCAACTGTGATCTCTTTGTTATACCAAGTTGTTATCGTTGAGAGTAAATCTTCATAGAAAAGTAGAAGTTTGTTTCGTATCAAGCTTTTTATAAGCATGAGGATTAGTATAAAGACGTAAGCAAGACTGGCGCTCAGGTTATGTTTGATCTTATAGTTTGGATTTGGTGATAGTTTGAAATGTTGATTCAGATCCTCTTCTTACTGCTGAAAATGGTTTGGCGATGCTACAGGCATTCACTTTCGTTCAGGTGACATAGGCTTCAGTACCTTGACTTTAGGGACGTTCAGACCGCGCACGAAGGCGCACAAAGGCGCCGGAACTGCTAAAGCGCAGGGATTTGCCGGCAAAGTGCCATATTGCCATATTCACAAACATACACTCACAAACATACACTCACACGCATAAACTCACACACATACACTCACAAACATACACACACACCCAATGCACAACACATAAACACATACACTCAGACACACACACTCGTACATGGAACAAAAAGGAAAAAAAACTCCCAAAGTATAAGAAAAAGCAAAGCATTAAAACTCACCTGAAGTCTGCAAACATGAGACGTAAGAATAGACGCAAAGTCGACATATTCTTGCAATAGGATTAGTAGCAAACGAAAATAGACATCTATGCAACGTCGAGCTACTTGTGACTAACATACGTGCACACCGCGCTGTATTTCACGCGTATTCCAATATGGCACTTTGCCGGCAAATCCCTGCGCTTTGGCAGCTCCGGCGCCTTCGTGCGCCTTTGTGCGCCTTTGTGCGCCTTCGTGAGCCTTTGTGCGCCTTCGTGCGCCTTTGTGCGCCTTCGTGAGCCTTTGTGCGCCTTTGTGCGCGGTCTGAACGATCCCTATGTTTGTCTCATCGATCGCGAGGATTTAGACATATGAAGAGGGACTTTGAAGTTTCGGGCACATACAAATTCACCTTATTCTGTCGTGCTGGTTGAGGTTGAAAAAGAACCAATGCCGAGGTTCAAAGGAAAGAGGACAATCAAGCTACTAAAGAAAACAGAATTTCGCCTATAAAGCCTTTTGGCAAATACGCAATGGGGAGTTGAAGGTTACTGTCATAGAATTTTCAGAGTTTTATTTGAGTTCTATCTTGCAAGTCTTCTTGTTTGATAACTTGAATTACGAATATCACGAAGAATTTGTCATAAAAAGCGTTAATGTTGGGCGTGGCTATCGCTTTGCTCAATTTTCTTTGAAAATTCTTTGTGAGGTTGCAAAAATCTAGAAATCTCAAAATCACTAACTAAGCTTTCAATGCCGTCTCCACTTGCTTAGCTCGCATATTTATATTGTTGAAGATTTCTTATCATCTCGACTAATGACGAGCGTTGCATCTACCTTTACAGTCGAGTAGATTTCCTAACATATTGTACTTGCGGTGCTGAGGTAATGCGGTCAGATTCAAACAAATAGCTAAACAGTAACATCATTCGCGCGTGCAAGTGGCCGTCGTCACATGCTAAGGCTGTTCACGCGCAAATTTTACCGCATTTTCGGCACCGCAAGCACACTATATTATGCTGGAAATCTAGTCGACTGTACATAGTATTACCATGCCGAAGTGCAGCATTATGCTAGGCTGTACCGAGCTGTCCAATTTGCAGATTTTTTGGTTAAGAATGTTGTAACTCTCTTCATAATCAGCATTTTTGACAAGTCAAATTTTGTTGGATTAAGCGTGGTTACATCTGTCACATGCACAGTATGTCATATAAGGAAAGCAAGCGAGAGAGAAGTGAAAATTTGGGGAATTTTGCTGAGTTTCCTTCAGAACCACTACTTTGACGTACAAATGCTTCCAAATAAGGATACTCGGACATATTTGACTGTCACCGTTGAGAAGCCTATACTTCAGAGAACCTTTCATGGATGAGGAGAATTTGAGCTATCTTTGCATAGAAATTTTTACGAGCAAATCAGGAAAAATCCATTATTTGAGCCCTCCTCCGCGCGCGCAAATAGGTCGACTTGCTAATATTTGATTTTTCTTGCTGTCGCGAACGAAGAAAGCTAACTAGCAAAGCAAAAAAAATAGAACTTTGATCCATTGCCTTTTATCACGTAATCCATTGAACAAAATGTTGGTTTTTGAAAAAAGTTCTTGTGCTCGTGAAACTCGCACAATTCACTCGAGCGAAATGGACTGTCCTCGTTATCTGCCATCCGCCGGAGAATTCCTGAGTAATTGAACAATTTTGGGTCGAAAAAGTAAAGCGCAATTGGAACAAAGTCATGTAGAATTGCCCAAATGGGCCGTATCAGGATACTAAATACCATGGTTACTTTCTGTCTGTAATAGACTTATCTTACTCAATACGCTCTAATTGTGCTCTTAGGAAACTGTGACTATTAATCTTGATTAAATCCTGCGTACACTTTTCGCTCTTGAAACACTCGTAATTCGGAGTCCAGAGGAGCATGGCAATTACTGAAGACAGACTTGGAATCAGCGCTTTATGCTTTCCAGAATGGTTCAAAGTTTCATTCGGATTGATGAAAAACTTTTTCCTCAATGGGAGATTCATGAAATGAGCGATTGTATTTTGCAGGAAGAATTTTTTTCTCTTTAATGTGAGTTCCACACAACTGCACATTTCATGCTTCGTTCCCGCATTATTTTTAAAGCGTAAATTTCGAATTCACTGCTTGATTGACTCAAAGCCCCACCACCTGGTTATTACTGCGTAAATGTCAATTATTTCCGTGATATGCAATCAATGGAATGTATCTGTAGTTAGTTTTAATTTCGGAACAGGGCAGTACGGTGGCAAAGAGTAATATATGCTAGGTTTATTGATATGCTTTGCATATATCAACGCTTAATTTCTGAGACCAACTGAACCGATTTGGACATTTAACAACTGATTTTTTGTTCGCCGTTGTTGATTCATTGTTCTATCTAAGGGGCTCTATGCATGAAAGTCTGTAAGAGTACGGCACAGGGGTAGGGGAACGAAAGCCGCCAGTTTGGGCCGCCTCCGCGGACTGCTGGTCCTGGAACGACGTGCAGCAACACTGCAAAAGGACCAGTTGGTCGCGAAAGACGTCTCAACTGGCGGCCTTCGTTCCCCTACCACAGCACAGCAGTGACGGCCTGCGGAGGGGAGGGTGTGGGGGGAGGAGAGTGGGAAAAGAGGAAGGTGCTCTACGAGATAAGACTAAGAATGAATGTGACAATGCACGATGCCGAAGGAATACAGCATGGCAAAGAGCATAATTTCGAAAAGAAAAACCTATCTAAATAAAGAAGCAAAAAAAGAGTGTCTCATACAAAAACAATCAAGAATTATTATCGTTACGAAAACATACCTGAACTATATCTACCAGCCCAAGCTGCAGTTTAGGATAATATAATACAACAAGTATTTTGCAGTTTCTTAGATGGCAGTGTACAGAAAATCATTCAGTTGATGGTAATCGATGTTCGACTTTCGAAAATGCACGCGTAAGTAGAAACTCGTCCATTACCCACACGCAGCGCAACCGCCCGCGCCCTAGTTTTACTACTGTAGCGCACTGTAGGGTTCAGAAGGGCCGTCTCCCCATCAGCCAGAGTCGTGGAAGGGTACGGTAGGGCGGCCGGTCGGTGTCGGGGCGAAGGAGCAACTCCTCGAGGCTTCGTATCGTCGGTCACGCCCTAAACATATGAATCACGTCTTCTGGCATTCCATCGGAGATGCAAACGGAGATGCAAAAGCATCTCCCTTACAGAAGCATTAGATACTCCCGGCACTCTACGACCCTCGTAACTGTCTGAATATGGTCCATAAGTTGAAATCTCTGCGAAATCCAACTTGCTCTTGAGACTGGGCTTCATCAGTGCCCGTGGTTTGCGAGCGAGGATGATCTTCGTGAAAAGCTTGTACAGCCCCAGCAGTATTAGACGGTAGCTCCACTCCTTCCATTTGCTCTCTTTGGAGAGCAAAACGGTTCTGATACTGGTCCGGGATCCCTCCTGGAGGTGAAATGCTAGTTGGGATGCGAGAATCTCGTATAGACGTTGCCCTCCAGCTCGACGAAGTTCGGCGGAAAAATGCTCTGTTCGTGGAGCCATAGACATCTTCATGCCTAAATCGCGGACCCACATCAGCAGGCAAAACTCGTGATAACACTGGGAACAACGAGCATTGACATTGGTGCTGAGGTGAGTGGAGAAGGTTGCTGTAGAAGTTCGCTATAGACATTAAGAGCCGTGGTCTCTTTTTCAATAGTGTTGCCAACTGTACATGATATCCGTAGAGGTAATAGGTTTCTTCGGAACCTCTTGAGACTCGTCTTTCTTTGGCTGCTTTCAGCAGCTTGGCTTGTACCTTCGGAGATCCTCCTGCAAAGCTGTTCACTAGGCTATCAGTCGTTCGAGATTGATTACATCGGATCCCCCAAAACTTCTTCTTTCGAGCAAATCGTTGGTGGTCTTCGAAATGCGTTACAATTCTTCAGAAGTCATTGAGGCGCACACCCTTTTACAAGTCTGTCGTAGTCGCACACATTCTCCTCATGGACCAGTCACAACTTGTTATGAGCTCCTCCAACCTCTGACCGTCACAACTTCTTTCCTTCTTGCGGTACTGTGGCAGACTTTCTTCTCCAGCCTTCAACTGAATCCTATCTTCCCTCGAAGGAAGCGGTTATCGGAGTCACTGCGGGAGGATTAATTTACTGAGACACAGAGCAAGCTTCATCCGGTTGATGAGAATGTGATCAATCTCCGCGTGAGTCGTTCCGCTGGGCGCTTCCCAGGTCCACCTGCGTCGTGTTTCCTCATAAAGATGGGCTTCCATGGAACTCACTAATGCTCTCATTTTTATTGAGAACGTCTCGCTGTGAAACTCGAACGAAGACTCTTCGTCCACTCAATTCAAAAAGAGGACTTGGTGAAGCCACGATCAAAGAGGGATCATTCCCGAAACAATTGACAGCTGCCTAACTTTGAATGTGATTTCGTGCCTATATTGTCCGTACTCTCTGTATTGTATATATCTACGTGTCAACATTTGGCGTAAGGGACGAGAAATATAACGATCCA